TTGTAAACCACCATTTTGAAAAAAAAAGTCTATTTAGACCCCCATGGAGCCCTCTTTAAGGGAAGTTCAAGCTGCCCTAGAGACTTTTTGATTGGCCTACAAAATTTCCCAAGGCCAAGGGTTTTGATGATGGCAGAATTTTTTTTAACAAATTACTTGCTTTAAACAACAAACATTGTCCTATAAAACAAACAGATCACAAAAAAAGGGCTTTTTTGCCCATGGTAACCACCCCATTCTGAAATCCATGAAAAGAAACCCCAATATGAAAAGAATATGACAGGGCTTAATACACAAAGCTCTTAAAAAACTATTTCCCTTCACCAAAGTAAAAAAAAAAACCAAACAACTTACTACTCCAGTAATTCAACACTAGGGAGATAAAAAAAGACCTGGAAAAACACTTTCAGATTCTAGGGACCACAAAAGAGAAAACCCAAAAATATTGTCCTAACTAAACCTAATGAAAAAAACCATAATCCCCCTGACCAGTAAAAGATAAAGACTTTTCTCAAAATAGGATCTTTTTCGCCAGTAAAATCCCACATACCCGCCCTGCCCGGGCTCCCAGATGGGAATTTCCCCAATTCCTTCTATTTGCACCCAAATGAGCCCTGGGGAAACATTGAGTATAAAGTCACTTAAAAATAATCGGGGAATCTGTTCATGTCCACCATTTCGTACAAGCGAGCGGCCTTTCCTTTGCATGCTATTTTTATTCTTTTTTTAAAAAATCACTAAGATAGCACCTTCCCCCAAATATAAGATGGCAAAAGGTTACCCAATTCATAAAGGTGGGGACCCCAAAAAGACTTAAAAAAACTATAGGCCAAAACTAAATTACCATTGCTATCCCAAAAACTTTGAGAAACTCGTGACAGGGAACTGATTCATTTTTAACGGGTCAAAACATATAACCCCGCCCGTTTTTGGGTTCAGGAAAAAAAAAAGCACAATTTATGCAATCATAAAAATGCTAGATCGCTTTCACAGCATTGGAAAATAAGGAAAAACCATAGGAATTTTTATTGACCTAAGAAAAAGCTTTTGACAGTAGCCACGCATCTACCCACAAACTTGTACTACGGTTTTTAAAAGGGGCCGGCTTGCTTTTTTCAAACTTACTTTTTTAATAGGTATCATACGTCCCCATTAAAGACCGCCAGCAAACCGGCCCTTTATAGGAGTTCCCCGGGGAAGTTCCGGGCCCCGCTCTTCCCCATTACATCAAAGCCTTCAAACCCTATCCCAACACCCGAAAACCCCTTTTCTTTGGTGAAAAAAACAAATTTATGTCTTTTCTCACCCTAAACTTGCCCCCCTCAAAACCATTGTAATGAGGACTGATTAAAATTTTGACTTGGATGACAGCCAATAAACTTACGCTTAACATGACAAAAACTCTTTATTAGTTTGGTAGCGAACAGGAGTCACAAATTAACTTAAAAATTGAAAATCTAATTACCAAAAATAATGGGGAAAATTCCTAGGTTATACCTGACAACAACCTGAATTTCGCCCCTATCCGCATATACCAAAAAAATACCAAAACGGTTGGTCCTTCCAAGATACGATACTACGTGCCGCAAAATGCCCTTCTCCCCACTATCCACTCCTTATTTTTTCCATACCCCACCCTTTTATTTGTCTTGGGGGTCAACTGCAGCAAACACCAAAAACCAATAATAACCCCCAAAAAAAAGCTGCAGTAAGAATAATCCTAAATCCCCTCCTGGCAACAACACCCCCCCTCTTCATAGATCTAACTTACTCCCAGTCCCGTACATCCACACTTACTACTGTGCAATCTATACTAAAGGGCCTTAAAATCTAAAATTTAACCTTGACCCAAAACGCTTTCTTGATTTTTTTTTTGGGCAGAACCCACAGGCTAACACCAGACCCCAAAAAACTCTACGACATTCCCCGTGTCCGACTAAACTTCAAAAAATTCAAGTATGTCAAAGGCCCCAAAAATTTGGAATACCCTCCGAGAACTCTAGAACTGCAAAACATTCTTTCCCTTTTAAAAATACCATTGAAAAAATCTTTTCTCCCCGATCACCCCCCCTCAATAACTACACGATACCCCCGGGGTTCAACTTAAATCACTCACTCATTTGCCATAAACAGATTATTAATCTCAGTCTTAAAATAATGAATCCGTTTACTCCAATACTGAAACTATGTACTGGCCAAAACAAAAAATTCACATTGCTAAACCACAACTTATTTATACTTAGCCCCTAATAAACTTACCTATAATTTGTAAAATTTTCTTAAGAAAAAAACTAAATTGCCCGAAATGCCTAGCCCTGCTAAGCGTTTAGTGGTACATCTGTAATCACAAATTTTTTACATGTAAAAACCCAAAAAATAAAAAATTTTTGTAAACTCGATTGTAATCCTTATAAGAATAAACTTTGAAATTTTAATAAGAGGACTTCTCTTGACCACCCAAATCCCATCTTAATCAACACCGTATGTACATACAAAGGAGTAAAACCCGATCCCCCTGTAGCTGTAGGAGTTCCCCAAGGTGGTCCTAGGCCCACTCCTCTTTCTCATTACATCAACGTCTCCCCAAAGCTCCCAATCCTTACCCTTCTATTTGTGAGACACTCAATGTCACCCCATCACCCAGCTGGGCTTGGGGAAAACACTAAAAAAATGAAATGCTGAAAATATATGATTGGGTGTGACCAACAAATCACCTAAATAGACAAAACTTACTTCATGCTGTTTTGGAAAAGAGCCTCAAATATTAAATTTTAACTTTCTGTTAAATGGGTTCCCCTACATCAAGACCTAGAGGGCAAATTTTTCGTTCTCCTTGATGTAACTAAATTTCAGTCCCCTCCCTCACATAGCCCAAGAAAAATTTTCCAAATCAGTGGAATCCTTTTCCCAAATACTCTAGTACACAAACGACTCTCCTTACCTGTACCCCTTCTAATATATCCTTACCTATCTAGGGATTGTGCCTGGGGTAACCAAGCCCAAACCACCTTTTAGACCCTTAATAATCCAACAAAAAGCTGCTGTGCGGGTGATAACCAGCTCCTGTGCTAGACAGCACACCCCACCATTTTTCAAAAGACTCAACTTGCTAAATATACAAGACATACACTCTTATTATTGTGCCTACTACACATACAGAACTTCAAACTCCACTGGAAACCCTCCCCTAAAACTACTCCTCGACAGTTACAACAAAGTGCACAGTCACAATACAAGGTATAAGGCCCTTTTCAACATCCCTCCAGTAAGATTCTCACCATGCAAGAACGCTATACATATAAAAGGCCCAAAGACCTGGAACTCACTACTGGAAATAGGTCAAGGATCCCTAGACAACTTATAAATTTAGGACTCTGCTAAAAAATCATCTTATCTCACAATATTAACCAAATCAACCAAACATCTGACTGACTAGTTTTATCATGTGACCTCCTGGCTTTTAATTCTGCCATTCCATAAGATATTACCACCTGCACCATTCCTTGTAAATTAGTCCAAATAAGACTGTAAAACAGCTAACCACTATTCTATGTTTAGTTTTAAGTAATAATTACTATGTACTTTATCTTATCTAGTTTTAATTAGTTACTATGTACATGTATGTATTAGGATTAGTTTTGCCCGAAATGCCTCAGCATGATAGTGGCTATCTTTGTACTTAGCCAATCAAAACTGTAATTACACATTGTAATCTTTACAAAGAGATAAACTTATTATTATTATTATTAACCCTTTGAGGGTCGCCAGGCCCTCTCAGAGACTTGTTCTCAGGGTTGCCAAAATTTAAAAAAAAAAAATTATTTTTTCTTATGAAAAGATAGAGAATCTTTTCCTGATCATAATGACACCAAAAGTATGAAATTTGATGGAAAACTTACGGAATTTTGTTCTCGCGAAGTTAGCGGTCTCGACGATGTTCATGCATCGGCGATTTTGCCCACTTTGAGCCCTATTTTCGGCCAATTCCAGTGTACTAGTTGACAAAAATCATAACTATTTCGCTAGAACTCTCCTTTTTTTTTCTATCGAATGAGTACAAGAAACCACCCATTTACCAATTTCAACTATCCAATAAAGTGGTCAGAATTTAGCAACATTGCCAATTTCACACAAATTTCAAAAGATGCCAATTTCCAAATAGGGTCCAGAATAAACAAGAAGGACATCTCTGGCACTAAAATAACATTTTCCTCTGTTCATTAGTCACATCCCCATGCCCCTCTACATTTCTTTTGCTTTCCACTTTGAATTTTTATTCTCACAAAAAATAAAAGATTTACTGTTATGCAGACTACTGTATTAGTGTAGAAATGGTATAAATAATACCAGCGCACTTGTGAAAGAATATTAGATTCACCAGTTGACGTGTATTGGACGCGTGGCATGATTTGTTTACTTTTGAACTTTGGCAAAAATCAAACATTTCTGCTACTTTGAGCTCAATTTCAAGGTACTTTTCATTGTGAAACCAATCAAAAATCATCTCAATTTCTGTAACACGTCTTCCATTCTATAAAATAAGACCAGGAAAACTAGAATGCAACCATAAATACCATAACGAAAATACAGTGCAAAGTTGCTGTTTTAAAACCAAAAACACGGTCAAAGTTTTTTTTTTTTTTCTCATTACGCACTGTGTGCTGCAGGATTTTTTTTATACTGCGCACAATGACCACATAGACCCATTCTTTCATATGTAGGCCTACCAGCTTTCTCTTGCTAGATTTGAGGGCGCTAGAATTTGTGTGTACTAGTACATCAAAAACCCTGGCGCATAAACCGTACTAGTACGGCCGAAACCCCGAAAGGGTTAAATACAAAAGTTCCTAGCAAGTCAAGAATACAAGGACATCTTACTGTTTTGGCTTTTTCAAACAAATGACATAGCTCCTCTATGTAACCAAGGATAACAGCAAACCAGGTATATAATAGTAATGCGAATAGATAACTAACATAACAAACATTATTATTTGCTTGAGCTTTACATTAAAAAAGTTCTATATATATTTTAAAGAGCTTTAAAAATTCACAATAAGAGTTCTATAATGGCCAACCTTGCGGAAGTCATATCCAAGGCAGATCTGAGGATGAGGGCCACAGGAATGTTTGATAGAGTAGATATCATAAGGGCGGTTGTGACAAAGGATATCATTATCTCCTGCAGAGTCCCACACTTGTCTCCACTGAAAGTCTCCGAGCTGCTGTTCAGCTAACCACTGTTTCCATGCATAGTGTATCCGCTGAACGACAGTAGCCTTCACTCCTGATTCTTGAAGTAAGTACGGCACTGCCGCACCATGTCCGAAAGGATCAACGGACCAACCACTGACTGGCTGTACTCCTAGAACATTAGACAACCACTGGTGACCTGCCAAAGTTGAAGTCATGATAATTTTGTGTAACATGAAATAGTGAAACATTTATTAAAAAGAAGCTTGTGTGCTGTACAACAATACTGTACGATACATAAAAAAGAAATACGTACATTAAAACATAAATACAACATTTAATATTTAAGTTCACAATAAATACATTACAACAAAATACAGATTGAACAAAAAAAGGCAATGTTCACAAACAATAAAGTTTCACATAACTGACCAATATAAAAATATTTTGAGGAACTTTTAAATGTCAATGAGGAAAGGGAGGTGGTAATTTCATGGACTGGCCAGGGAGGTATACCCTCTTTTAGGAGTGAAGGAGAGCAGGATGTGAGTTCGGGGGAAGCGCACGAGGTATTACGTAGAATAAAAGGGGGTAAAGCTGCTGGAACTGACAGGATCATGACAAATGTTGAAAGCAGGGGGGAATATAGAGTTGGAGTGGTTGGTATTTTTGTATAATAAATGTAGGTAATAATAAATGTAGATATAATAAATTGTAGGTAGTAGGTTGGTAGACAGCAACCACCCAGGGAAGTATTACCGTCCTGCCAGATGACTGTGAAACAGAAACCTGTAACTGTTTTGCATGATGGTAGGATTGCTGGTGTCTTTTTCTGTCTCATAAACACGCTAGATAACAGGGACATCTTGCTACTCCTACTTACACTTTGGTCACACTTCACAGACACGTACATGCATATATATATATATACATACATCTAGGTTTTTCTCCTTTTTCTAAATAGCTCTTGTTCTTCTTTATTTCTTCTATTGCCCTGGGGAAGGGGAAAAAGAATCTTTCCCCGAAAGCCTGCGTGCGTTGAGGGCAAATCCCGGGAGCAAGGGTAGTAACCCCTTCTCCTGTAGAATTTACTAAAAAAGGAAAGAAAAACTTTTTTAAACTGGGATGTTTGAAAGGGGTGGATTTTATCGGATGACAAAAACAGATGATTGCTGAGTTATAAATGAAAAAAAGTTGGATGCCCTGGCCCAAAGCGAAAAAAAGCTAAAGGGGGTAGGGGAGTTTCGGTGGGGGGAAATAAGGGGTTAACGGGAGTATCTGGAGATTTTAAGAAAAGGAAAGGGGTGCAGTAAATTTTGGGATCAGTTATGGAAGGAGAAAAGGAAAATATGAATGTGTAAATTCAAAAATTATGTGGTTTAAAAGAAAAGGTTGGATGCAAAAAGTGGGGTCATAAAAAAGGTGTATGCCCTGGAGAAAGAGGGAAATGTAGAGGGGGAGAGAGAGATTTTGGGAGTGTTAAGTGAATTTTTTGGACCTTTAAACCAGTGAGAGATAATTGTGTAGGGGACCAAAAATGCAAAAGTAGGAGAAACTTTAAGGGGGTTTGTGGTGGGTAAGTTTGGGTGCGGGTGAAAATGATAAGGGAGCCCTTTGTTTAAACTTTGATAAAAGGGGTTTAGTTTTGGTAATACATTTTTAAGAAAAAGAGGTAAAAAGTATACAGATATGAGTAGGGCGAAATACAGAGTTTTTTGGGTTATGTATTGGAGAAAAAAGACTGTTAGTAGACTTCGGTGTCTTTTTATAGAGGGGCCACGATATAAAGTCATTTCTGTTGTAGCTACACTGAGGGTAAAAAAGGTAAATGGGATAAAAGGAGAATAAAAGCTCGGGGAAAGAGAGAGGTTGGGTTTATAAACTAAAAAAGGGGGCAGTTGGGGTAAGATATAAACAGTATTGGGGATGAGGGGCTAATGAGAGCATAGGCAATGGGGTCGAAGATTTGGGGGGTTGGTTTAAAAAATGTAGTGTTAGAGTGTTTAGCAGAAGTTTGTGGTTACGGGAAGGGGGGTGCGGGAGGGAGAGGAGCGAGGGGTGGAATGATGATGTAAAGGAGTGTAAGGGAGAAAAAGTCAGCATTGAAAGTTTTTACAAAGTAAAAGTGATGCAAGGGGGGGAAGGGATATGGAAAAAAAGGGGGGGTTAGAGAGGGGGAAGCAATGTAAAAAAGAGAGCAAATGAGAGAGTGGGTGATATTTATCAAAAAATTTTTTGTTGAAAATAAGAAAATTTTTGGGAGGATTTTAAAAATTAAGGAAAGCCTGGGGAGAACAAATGGATTTGTCTTTTTAAAAATAGGAGAGGAGATTTTATAAAGGAAGTTAGAGGTATTGGGGAAATGGGGGGAATTTTTTGAGGAATTGTTAAATGTTGATAAAGATAGGGAAGCTGTATTTGTGTAAGGGAAAGGAGGAAATAAACTTGTAGGAGTGAGGAAGACCAGTTGTGAGTGGGGGGGAAGTTGTGAGGCAGTGGGTAAAAAAAAGGGGGGAAAGGAGTGGGATTATGGGAAAAGATAGAATGAAAAGAAGGTGGGGATATAGTTTTGGGTGGTTGGTGCAATTTTTAAATAAATGTATGGAGGGGGTAGGACCTAGGGATTTGGAAGGCATGCATATTCCTTTGTATAAAGGAAAAGGGGAAAAAAGGGAGAGTGAAAAATTATGGGGGGTAAGTTGTTGAGTTATGGTAAAGTGTAGGGCAGAGTTATTATTGAAAAAATTAAGAGTAAGACGGAGAATAGGATAGGATGAAAAAGGGGAGGCTTAGGAAAGTTAGGGCGGTGTGGCCCAGGTGTTTACAGTAAAAACTTTAAAAGTGAAAAGTATTTAGATAAGGCTAAAGGGGTCTTTGTGGTTTTATGGTTTTGGGAAAAAAGGCGTATGACAGGGTGGATAGGGAGGCAATGTGGCAATGTTGCGGGTGTTGGTGTAGGAGGTGGGTTACTAAAAGCAGGAAGTTTTTACGAGGATAGTAGGCTAAAGTTAGGTTGTAGGAAAGAGGGAAATTATTTCCCAGTAAATTGGGTTAGACGGGATGTGTGTGTCCCGTGGTTTTTTTAAATTTTTTATAGAGGGGATTTGTAAGAGAGTAAATGGAGGATCTTGGCAAGGGCGTGGGTTAAAAGATAAAGAATCCCCAGAGTGGGAGTTTCACAGTTGCTCTTTGTGATGACACTGGTTTTGGGGAGATTCTGAAAGAAGTTGCAGAGATTGGGGGATGTTTGGGAAGGGGTTGTGCAAAAGAAAAAAATTAAAAGTGAAACAGGAAAGAGAAAGGGAATGAGGATAAAAAAAATTGGGTGATAAAGATTGGATATCAGATTGGGGGGAAGAGTATGGAGGAGGTGAATTACTCAATTTTTGGGAGGGGAGGTCAGCGGAGGGGTCTATGAAAGAGAGGTGAATCATAGAATTGATGAGGGAAAGGGTGAGTGGTGCATTTAGGGTCTGTGGAGGAAAGAATTTGTCTTGGGGGAAAAGAGGGGAATGTATGGAGTATAGTTTTACCAAGCTTTTATGGGTGTAAAGCTGGGTGATGAATGTTGCAGCAAGGAGAGGCTGAAGGCGTGGAGATGTCATGTCTGAGGGCAATGTGTGGTGTGAATATAATGCGGAATTGTTTTTTGGAAGTTAGGGGAGGCCCTGGATTTTTACCTGGAGGAGTTCCGGGGTCAACCCCCCCCGGGGCCCCCGGTCTGAGACCAGGCCTTCCCAAAAAATGTTGTCCAGGGGTGGGGAAAGGGGTTTGTTGGGGTGGTTGGGACATGTAGAGAGAAGGGAGCGAAACAGAGTGACTTCAAGAGTGTTATCTTAGGGGAGGAAAGGGGGGGTAGGGGTGGCCTGGGAAAAGGGTTGGAGGGGGGGGGTAAAGGGGTTTTTGTGTGCGGGGGGCTGGACTTCGCAGGAAAATAGTGAGGTGTTTGAAGGAGTGAATGGAGAAAATGGTTTTTAATTTTTTGACGTGCTTTTGGGAGTGTGAGCAAAGTAACATTTTAAAGGGATTCAGGGAAACCGGGCGGTCAGACTCGAGTCCTGGAGAGGGGAAGTACAGTGCCTGCATCGAAGGGGGGGTTGTTAATGGGCAGTTTAAAAACTGTGTGTAAAGCCCTTTGGCAAGACAGTGTGGAGTGAATGAGGTAAAATTTTTTTCTTTTTCGGGCCACCCTCCCTTGGTGGGAATGGGCCCGTGTGATAAAAAAAAAAAAAATGTTAAAAGAGAGGAACGTACCTAGGGTTTGGGCAGAGAGCATGTACATTTCCCTTTTATAAGGGAAGGAGGAAAAAAAAAATTGTAAAAATTATGGGGGAATAATTTTTAATGAGCATCCCAAAAAAAAGTGTAAGGTAGGGTTATTATTGAAAGAATTAGGGGGAAAGACAGAATGTAGTTTTTTGGACGACAAGGGGTTTCGGTGGGTAGGGATGTGTAGTCAAGTGTTTACATTGAAAATATATGTAAACAGTTTTTTGAAAAAGGGAGGGAAGTTTTCTTTGTATTTAAAGGGATTAAGAAAAGGGATATGATTGAGTGGATAGGGGAGCAATGTGGCAGTGTTGCAAGTATAGGGAATAGGTGGTAAGTTCTAAATGCTGTAAAGAGTTTTATGAGGATAGTGAGGTCGGTTAGGGTGTGTAAAAGAGAGGGGGGAATACTTGGGTAAAAAGTAGGTCTTAACGGGGATGTGAAAGTCACCATGGTTGTTTAACATATTTAAAATGGGGTTGAAAAAAGAAGTAAATCTAGGGTGTTGGGAGGGGGGGGGATTAAATTAGGGGAACAAATTAAAAAAGGGGAATTGACACAGGTGCTTTTTGCTGATGGTACTGTGCTTATGGGAGTTTTAAAGAAAAGTTGCAAAGGTTAGTAGAAAATTTGGGGTGTCTGTAAAGGTAGAAAGTTGAAAGTAAACAAAAAACGAGAAAGGTGATGGGGGTATAAAAAGATTTAGAAAAGAAAAATTAATTCAAATTGGAGAGGGGGAGTAGGGAAAGGGTAAAATGTTTTCAATTTTTGGGGAGTAGATGTCAGCAGAGATTTATAAGGGTAAGGGAACCCATGAATTGATGAGGAAAAAGAGGAAAGGGGGCATTGGGGTATTTGTGGGCAAAAAATGTTATTATGGAAGCAAAGAAAGGAATGTATGAAAGTATGGGGTACCAACATCTTATTGGG